GTGTTCAGTTGAAGACCATAGTAATATCCCCAGTAATTTTTCATTTATTCTAGGGTATAATATATTCAAGTTTCCTATCGTTTGATCGCGATAACTAGAAGATGTCGCTTGTGTTCAGTTTAAGGGGAGCGTCTAGGGTAAAATTTAGGATTTCGGCTTTTCCGGTTTTTAGTCTCATCTTAAAGCTGACATTCTGACCTATCCAACGATACCAGAACCATCTCTGTACGTTGATTTATGCGTTCATGACAGATCATGAAAGGGAGGGGGGTGGGGTAGTTCTTTAACAAATAGAATATGAGGAAATTCGCTGCGAGCACTTTAAATAGAGTGTCTGCTTGAAGTGCACCTTAGTTACTCGCCTGGCGTCGTATGAAGAGGTGTGCATGCAGTCGCTCCCACCATCCTTGACTGGAATCAAGCTCCAGTAACGTTTAGTTTTGTATCCTTGCCACATTGAGTGCCTATTCCGATGAGCGCGGTACTTTGACGGGCTCTACTGAAAAGTTAACTTTTTGTCACTGCAAACCTATCTCCTCCCAGAGTTTTCAAGCTACAACCATGAGACATATACCATTCGATGCGCAACAAAATTATCTACAACTGAACAAATGCGTTTTTCTAATTTCGTAATAGTTTGGATTTTATCCCGCAAAAAGGGGGGTGGCGGGGGAGAAATCGAAAAATTTTCGAAAAATTTACGAAAATTGCTCCCACACCTACATAAATGGGAAATCCGAAAAAACGCCCTGTTCAATTTTAGATATGGTCTTTACGCATCGAATGATATGTGTTTCGTTGTTCTAGCTTGAAAATCCTAGGAGGAGATAGATTTCTACGGTACCCCCTTTTTTGGCCGTTTTCTAAGATTTTCACGTTTTCTTCCATTTTTTTCGAAAAATTCACATGAACAAAAAAGTCTTAGATTTCTATTTTACATATGTGTACCAAGTTTCAGAGTGATCCGTCCGTAAATAGCCGAGATAAATTTTACCCTAGACGCTCCCCTTAAGATTATAGTAATCAGCTCAGTAACTTTACTTAAGAATAGAAGTGTCGGCGCTGAAGAAATAGGCCCATGGCCTGTTGCCGAGTATAATTAATAAATTCCTAAGTATAATATAATTAAGTCTCCTATCGTTTGATCGTGTCCACAAGGAGAAATTTCTTGTGTTCAGTTCAAGAATATAGTAATATGCCCGGTAAGTTTTTGTTTATTCAAGAGTATAATATATTTAATTAAGTCTCTAATCGTTTGATTGCGTTAAGTAGAAGATATCGCTTGTGTTCAGTTTAAGATTATAGTAATGAGCTCAGTAACTTTTTTATATTCTAAGGAATAATATATTAGAGTCTCTTATAGCTTGATCGTGTTCACAAGTAGAAATTGCTTGTGTTCAGTTGAAGACTATAGTAATATCCCCAGTAATTTTTCTTTTATTCTAGGGTATAATATATTTAAGTCTCCTATCGTTTGATCGTGTTCACAAGCAGAAATTGCTTGTGTTCAGTTCTAGACTATAGTAATATGCCTAGTAATTTTTTATTTATTCTATGGTATAATATATTTAAGTCTCCTATCGTTTGATCGCGATAACTAGAAGATGTCGCTTGTGTTCAGGTTAATTAAGATTATAGTAATCAGCTCAGTAACTCTTTCTTATATTCTAAGGTATAATATATTTAAGTCTCCTATCGATTGATCGTCTTCAAGTAGGAATTGCTTGTATTCAGTTCTAGAGTATAGTAATTTGCCCAGTAATTTTTTACTTATTCTAGGTTATAATATATTTAAGTCTCCTCTCGTTTGATCGCGTTAACTAAAAGATATCGCTTGTGTTCAGTTTAAGATTATAGTAATAAGCTCAGAAACTTCTTTGGAATTGTAAGTTAAAATATATTTAAGTCTGATATCGCTTGATCGTCTTCACAAGCAGAAATTGCTTGTGTTCAGTTTAAGACTATAGTAATATGCTCAGGAACGTTTTGTTCACTCTAGGGTATATATGGTTGTCTTATCGTTTGATCGCGTTAACTAGAAAATGCCGCTTGTGTTCAGTTCAAGATTAAAGTAATATGCACAATAAATTTTTGTATATTCCTAAGGTATAATATACGTATTAAAGTCTCCTATCGGTTGATCGTGTTGACAAGCGGATATCGCTTGTGTTCAGTTTAAGATTATAATAATATATTCAGTAACTTTTTCTTTATTCTATCTAAAGAATCTTGAGTTGATTCCTTAGATTCGAGGTTCGTGAGGTAAACTATTGAAAAAACAGTTTCGAGATTTTTTACTCATATACCGGTTTCTTAAAAAATACATAAATTCATACAAGGAACTTACAATTCATTCATATTACAAATTCAATTAAATCATGAATCATATATCAACAAATTACTAATACTAATTACTGGACCTATGGCATAAATAAATCTCAGCTGACAGACGACTCGTAAATGAGTTGGCGAATACAAGAATGCTTCTACTCTAGAGTGGTCGGCCTAAAGAAATGAGGATGCTTTAACATTTTAATCTAAGATATAATATTTTTAGTCTCCTATGGAGACTAAATATCTTGTTCACAAGCAGATATCGCTTGTGTTCAGTTTACGATTATAGTAATATGCTCAGTAAATTTTTGTATATTCTATGGTATAATATATTTAAGTTTCCTATCATTTGATCGAGTTCACAAGCAGACATTTCTTGTGTTCAGTTTAATATAATAGTACATATAGACAACTCACCATCTGCTTTCGAAACTACCAAACAGAAACGCATGAGTTCGCGTTGCAGAGATGCAGTTAATTTGAAATAAGTCAGAAAATACCAGATAAAAAATATCAATACCAGACACCGTCCCAAAATACCAGATTTGTGAAATCTGGTATGAAATGACAGCAGTTGGCAACGCTTGCAATAAGGAACTTTCTCTAAATGCGTACTAGATTGATATATCCTTTTGCCGTTACAGCAATTTTAGGGATCAAAAAATATGTTTTGGAGCCGAAGGAGAAACACGACATATCGACGTTATTCAGTCGCAACCGACCCGTAACTACTGAACACAACGTGTGAAATCAGCGTATTAGAAAATGATTGTATCCCTAACTGAAGTATTCTTACATAATGGCCTTTAAACATCAAATCATATCAATTACGGTTGAATTACCTTACACGTTTACGCATGTTTGCACAAAAATTTCCGCTCATACACTTCATTTATAATTCCAGAAAAATATTATGTAGGATAATATTTCTTTGGTGATAATGTAGATCTACGGGGAATAGCATATACATGCGAGAACTCGAAAATGTGCCATGAGGTTTCCACGCAGTTGTGCTGTCAGCTACGAACTAATCATCAAGTTCGAACATGTTTAAAAATTATGATTTAGGATACACAATTATCATGTTGCACGAAACTCGTAACATTCTGATCATTTAATAAAAAATACAAGACGTTTCTGTTAATCTAGCTGAATTACTAGATATACTAGATTTTGTTAATCTAGCTGATACTAGATTTCCTCTAGTTAATAAACAATTCTTCAGCGATCACTGACAAATTATACAGCATACTTAAAGGAAGTTTAGGTGCAGGGGGGAAGTGTTTAAGTTGGTATTCACGTAAAGACGCTGGAAATATTCTTCGCATATTGTCTTGGACCGCCTTTGATGTCCCGGCACTCGTCGCGCGTGAGGCAATTTGGTGCACGACCATAAATCGGTCACCCTGAAGGAGGCTTTAATTAAACGAAACAGGTACGTTCTCATTCGTCAAAAGATTAGTGTTCATTAACAAGCTTTGAAGTTGTAGAGATAATTTGTCCAGCCCGTCCTAGAACTGTATTGAAGTAGAATGCAGCAAGCCCACAATTACTGGTTGATGGTTTGCTGGGTTATCCGCAACCTTACTTTGACGTCTACCGACCGATTCGACACTTCAGCGAACTCGCGTGCGAACTCGCCTGCGAGCTCGAACTTCATTTTCAACTCTGGCACTCATAACTCCTTCAATTATGAACGGATTTTATTCAAATTTTAAATATAAGTAGATAATATCAGTACGCTGCGGTGAGTATTTTTTTTCCTAACTTCACGTTCACCTCGCAGGTTAGGTCCTAGTCAGGTCAAGTTTCAGTATTTTGTGGCATTAACAAAAAGTAATTGACGTAAAAATCTGAAAAAATACCCTCCGCAGCGTACTGATATTATCTACTTATATTTCAAATTTGAAAAAAATCCGTTCATAATTGAAGGAGTTATGCGTGCCAGAGTTGAAAATTAAGTTAGATTTTCCGTATTAAAAAAAAAGTTATCGATGAAAAAATTTGAAAAAAATACTCACCGCAGCGTACTGATATTATCTACTTATATTTCAAATTTGAATAAAATCCGTTCATAATTGAAGGAGTTATGCGTGCCAGAGTTGAAAATTAAGTTAGGTTTTCCATTCGAGCTCGCAGGCGAGTTCGCACGCGAGTTCGCTGAAGTGTCGGACCGGTCGTCTACCGGTAGACAGTTGATTTTAATTCGTAAGTATGATATTGCTCTTTATATGGAATTGCCTCCGAAAGCTGCTACGGATGCACGACGGTTTTGGGTTGCATATTTTAGATTTTACTTCTCAGAAAAAAATATATTTAATTCCTGATAACGCGACAATTTGAAATCATGAAAACGAAAAATTGCCCACTAATTATATGTGTAAGACGACTAGACGTGGTAAGGCTAACGGCGTGGTGCGTGCGTCCCTGCGAGGTCTGACTCTTGCCAAACACCTGCTCGAGCTTAACAGCCTATTGTGTTGGGTTCGACTTGATTATCTTCTATTGATTATGATTGCGTTTTTCAGTCCTTCCTTGTATTATCAAACATATTATAGCAGAATTTTCCCTTCACGCTAGATCCCACATGCTAGCTATACTGCTATTATGTGCTATAGTCTTTGCTCTTCAGGTAACACTACGGCGACCGCGCGACTTTCAAAATTGTTGGTATTTTATAAACTGTGAAGAGAGAGTCCTCTGAAGTCTGAACTCTGAAGTTCTGAACTATGAAGTTTGGAATTCCTATTTGCCAGTCTTTGGCAATGGTTGCTTATGTCAGTATTTTTCACTAATCTGAATCCATTTTGGAAATTATGTTTGCTAGAAAAATGATTGATATTATAATTTAAATCTTATCATTAGATGTTTAAACCAAACTACATCTCAGACTCAGAGGCCTGAGCTTCAACTCCTAAGTAATTGTTGCCGACTTGCTGTCATACCTAAGTCATAACACATGTCGATGTCATAACTCATAATGACCCATAAAGTAATGGTTAACCTCCCTGAACCAAGAAGAATTAAGGCAAAAGGTAAGATTATTTTAGCATATAGTAGGTAGTAGGTACCTTTAACGTACCTAAGTCTTTCATGAAACTAGGTAGGTAAGATGAAACTAGGTAGGTAATGACAAGTAACCTGTGACAATGAGCATTTTATGATGATTTGGGAAATTATTAGGTACTTATTAATAAGTTCATCAACATGTTTACAAGCTCTACTAAAGTATTATTAAATATTTGGAGTCTTTAACTTAAGGAATTGAGCCTTGCGCTTGAGGTAGCCTGGTAGGTAGTATTTACTTTTTTATTTTATTAAGCATAATGGTTTGTTGCAGGACTTGCAGCCTAGCAGTAGGCTATAGCAGGATAAGCAGGTTGAAGCAATTTTTTTACTAGTGATTTTTGAAAATCAGGTTTGAAAAATGTAAAAAGGGAGTTTTACTTTTTCATAAAGAAGTAGAAAAAAAGGCCTTAGGACCAGGTTAAATTAGCCAATAGCCAGATTCACAGACATTTCTTTCAAATTCTAGGTTAGCTTCTGCCCAATTTTCCATTTCGATTTAGGGAACTTGCCCACCTCAACTTGCTCTTCCCTTTTTCTGAATCCTGAGTACCTATTGACTATTGTAGACACTAGACACTAGATGCTGCCTAGTGCCTAGTAGACGCAGATAAACCATCTAGTAGAGTAAGTAGACGGTACTATCTAAAACCTGGACCCAGACCCAGACTGGGGTCATTCTATGCCTGGCAATGCCAAGTGGTCTAAAACTGAAAAAAGTTCCCACCATCATGTCACCAATTTTCTTCAAATTTTAACTGTAGCACTTGACCACTAGTGAAGTGCTAAACTAAGTTTTCCAAAATATTAGGCCTCTAGCTGCAATAGTTGCTGATCTATAGGCTAGAGCCCCTTGTCTTGTCTGAAGGGTAGTCAGTCCTGAGTCCACGTGCGTGCACCATTGGATAAAATGCCATTTTTGGGGTCCAATGAAATTAAAACTAATTTATAAAAATGGCTAGTATAATGAGATCCTGTACAGTTTTTGTTGCTGATTCTGATAAAATTACTTTTATTACTGATGCAAAATTCAGCCAAACAAGTTGACTCAAAATGTACCTCAAAATTTGTTTTGTCTCAAAGCAAAAAATTTTGACCAATATTTAGACTGCAACAATTTTCTTGCAGATCAAGATATAGACTTGAACTTTTGGACAAGCTTTATACTTGTGCTGGACATAATATAGCCAGATTTTCAGCTTCCCAGACCCTATAGCTGTCCTGCAGGATTTCTTCAAATTTGTCAAGGTCAGCACAAATGGTCAAATTTACCAAAGTTCAAAGCCAGTTGCTAAAAAATAGTCAGCAAAATCTGCTTGTGCATAGTATCATCTAAAAGAGAAAATCTTGCTCTACAAGACCTACTAATGTATTCTTTTTTTGCAACATGACCATTAAGTATTTATTTACTCAGGTCAAAATACGTATGTTATTTTTTGTATAGTCAAATGGGGTAAGACAGGATCGCAGCCTTCATGGGGTAAGAAAGGACCAGCCCATATCATGCATTCTAATTGCACTGAATTTAATTTGATAGAAGAATATGTTAGAGCAATCATTGCATGTCATTTCAGTGCTTGTTTCAACCCTCTTATGCAAATAATGAATTTATCAGGTTTGTACTTTTACCTATTAAAAACCTTGTAACACAAGAATTACCTGTTGGTCCTGTCTTACCCCATGCCCGGTCCCATCTTACCCCAGTGGGGTAAGATGGGACCAGCTCACTTTTTTTAATCTGTACAGAAAACTATGTTGTATGCAGAAAGCCTGAGTTGTAGCTTAGAAGCCCATTGCATAACTACACCTTGTGATAGGTTTAGGGTTTTTTATTTATTCATGGTATAGATGCTCCATGCTTGTTAGAGATTTCGGTCCTGTCTTACCCCATCTGACTATATATATGCGATATGCTAATTTTTCTTCATTTCCAGGAATTTAAATCTTAACAGTCACTTATAATCAGGGTTGGCAATAATTAAATCAAACTGATTAAATCATGTGATTAAATCACTTGATTTTTATATAAAAAAAATTATGATATTTATATTCTATTTTTTAAATATTTTTTTATATACCCATTTAAATATATTGAGTGGCAGTCTTCAATTTATTTTGAGGTATTGTTATTCATGGTAAAGTGTAAATGTACTATGAAAAATTGGAATATAAACCTGTTGCCTTTAGTCTTAGTGTATATTATGTTCCGGTGAATTGTATGTTTTTGGTAGAGAGGCATCAAGTGTTGCAATACATTGTACATATAACATAGCTAGCAGCTTAGCTAATTCTTATAAGGCTTATAATTCTTATAAGGCTTTATAAGGTCTTTAACAATTTGACTATTATATATTAATCACATACAATTTACATGTGTTAGCTAGCTTATATAAGAAGGGTTGGTTGAGATTGTATTGACCTTTTAGGCAATTAGAAAGATTTTCCACCCTAATACTAGTAATTCTAATTAAAATAATTACTTTCAATCCTTAAATATGTGAATTTAAAACTAGAAACAAAACAGTTACAATTATAAAACTACATATAAAATAATTAAATGCAGTTAATGGAAATAAAATGTTTAAATTGTGCACATGTTTATTTCAAACAGTGTTATTCTCATAACATAAGTATTGTTTCAAGTCATTTGAGGTTTGTTTGGTTATCATTCAGTTTATATTTAGTATTGGTTTATTGGTCTGAATTAAATGTGAACAGTGCAGTCAGTCACTCAGTCACTATACTAGTCAGTGTGTATAAAGGGTAGAGTCTGGTACGTTTATATGACATAAAACTAGTAGATCTATTGATAGTGTTGTGCACTGTGCTATCAGCTACCTACTGGTATCTGTTATGTGACTCTTCAACGTTTAGAAGATCCACATTCCTGAAGTGTTCTTGTATATTGAAACCATTTAAATGGTCAATATTTAGCTTGGTACCTTGCTCCATACAAACTTTACAAAGCTAATGAATAGACTTCTCAATAATTGTTTACCCAAAAATCCCTAAGTGGTAAACACCACCTTGGCCTGTTGGCCATTATTGAAGGCAATAAGTGAAATTTTTAGCCATCTATTATGATACATATACGGTACTGTTATTGTTAGTAGGCTAATTGCAACATAAAAAATGACCTTTCAAAAAGACAAAAAAAGCTAATAAAAAAAATCATATAAATAAAAAAAAATCACAAAAAAATCGAAAAATTGAAAAAAATCATTGATTTTTTATTTTGTTGATTTTTTTTTAATAAAAAAATCACCAACCCTGGCAGGAATTGATATTCAGTTAGTATAATGGCTTCATGGTGGAAGCAAATGATGGAATTTTTGTCAAGTTTTGCTTCTGAACGTGAAACCAGTAATTCTGGTCATATTCTGCAAAATCAGCAAAAGGTTTGAATCCAGTCTTAGCATAGCAGATAACATGGCACTTTGATGCAGCAGCATGTTTCCCAACTGAACAAGGGGCCAATTCTTCTTATTTATTAATTTCTGACATCTTTAATTGAATGGTAAACAGCTGGTAAATACTTTTTATTAAATTTTATTAAGCTACAATATTCACATATGGTGGCACAATCAAATTGATAACAATGCACAATAAATGATTTACCAATCAATGAATAATATATGAATGAAAATAAAATTATATCAGTAATTATAAGTGACTATTAAGATTTAAATTTAAAAAAAAAAAAAAAAAAAAAAAAAAAAAAAAAAAAAAAAGATTTAAATTCCTGGAAATGAAGAAAAATTAGCATATCGTGTATACAAAAATAACATATTTTGACCTGAGTAAATAAATACTTAATGGTCGCGTTGCAAAAAAAGAATACATACGTAGGCCTTGTAGAGCAAGATTTTTTCTTTTAGATGATACTATGCACAAGCAGATTTTGCTGACTATCTTTTAGCAACTGGCTTTGAACTTTGGTAAATTTGACCATTTGTGCTGACCTTGACAAATTTGAAGAGATCCTGCAGGACAGCTATAGGGTCTGGGAAGCTGAAAATCTGGCTATATTATGTCCAGCACAAGTATAAAGCTTGTTCAAAAGTTCAAGTCCATATCTTGATCTGCAAAGAAATTGTTGCAGTCTAAATATTGGTCAAAATTTTTTGCGTCAAGTCTAAACAAATTTTGAGGTACATTTCAAGTCAACTTGTTTAGTGTTAAAAGTAATTTTATCAGAATCAGCACCAAAAACTGTAGAGGATCTCAATATACCAGCCATTTTTATAAATTAGTTTCAATTTTATTGGACCCCAAAAATGGCATTTTGTCCAATGGTGCTTGCATGTGGACTGACTACCCTTCAGACAAGGGGCTCTAGAAAAGCAACCATTGCAGCCAGAGGCCTAATATTTTGGGAAACTTAGTTTAGCACTTCACTAGCGCTACAGTTAAAATTTGAAGAAAATTGGTGACATGATGGTGGGAAGGGTTAGACCACTTGGCATGGAATGACCAACCGGCCACGTAGGCTAGATTGGAATTTTTCTACTTATGAATGATATCTTACAACTAAGACTAAGGTGATGAATTTTTGTTACATTTGGAATGTCATAGCTGTAGCCTTAGGCCTATGTTACAGTTTGTTTAACATTTAGATAGCAGATAATTCCCTGGTGGGAATCTTGTGGGGAAGCTCAAATTGTGGTTTGAAAGGTAGATAAATCCCTGGCCAGCAACAATGTATCACCATCATGCATACTTGACTTATCATATGGATATTGAATAACTTTCTAACTAGATCAGGAAATTGAAAATGAATTTCTTTCTAAATTATGTCTTGTTCACCAATCACCACTCAACATAGCAATTGATCTTACCAACAATTATATATTAGTTGACAGATAAGAATAAGGTCTCTTACAGCATACAGGCTGCAGTAAATCTGCAGCTCTATATGTCATGTTCTGCAAAAATTTGATTACAAACAGTACTGTACATTTTATCATAAGCAACATTTGATCATGCCACTAGCACTAACTATTAAATAAGAATTAATTCATCTAGGAAATATCGGGATGAGTCAACTAGTCCTAAGTCTACTAAAAAAATCTCTCATTTCCTGCAACTGGGTCTCCAGTCAACTTCAATTAAAAATATTAATAGTGTTGCTGTAGAAATTTAACTGCTGGAAGCCTGGAATCTGAGATGGTTCCTGACATTTTTAGACATAATCTCTTTTCAATATTTTATGAATTGTTGGTACCCTTCCTTAATATAATTGCACATTTCTAATGCTATTCCATCACTTTGGGAATTATTGGCATTTGTTTTTATTAAACCTAAAGACCATTTGAAACATTTTTTCCTTAATTTGTAAAAAAAAATTTGAAAATCTAACTATTTAGTTTATGTTCAAAATTGGTTGATACCTTTTATTGTGCTTGGGTGACGATACTAATTTTGAAATTTTTTTCAGATGTATTTGGATCCTTCCTCATAGATCATCATGCTGCTGACATCCTACTGCTGATGAAGTCATCTTCTGCTTCTACCTTTTATTCCATAGAAATAAAGTGGGTCCAATTTTTACAACACTTCTCTTTAACTTCACTTCTTGTCTGTCTGTCTGTCTGTCTGTCTGCTACAAATCTTGTAATCGAAATTTAACACACTTCTACTTATCCTATCGATCTGAAATTTTGCACACTTGTGTAAAGTTGGAGACAATGCATGAATCAAATGTCAAAATAAAAGATTTTAAAAATTAAAAAAAAATTTTTTTTCTTCAATATTAAAAAAATTGAAAAAATAATTTTGCCAGCTACAAATCTTATAACTGATATCAGACACACTTTTACCTGTCTTTTTGATCTGAAATTTTGCACACTTGTGTGAAGTCAGAGGCAATGTGAAAATTAGATGAGAAATTCATTGTACATCTGTAAGATTGGAGATACTGGATTCTTTGGAAGTGTTGTCTTTAAAAAGACAACACTTTAAAAAGTAGTTTAAAGTGGGTCCAATTTTTGATGAACATTTTCATTGAACATATGGTGAATATACTTGGAACTGTCTTTGCTTTTAAATTATTTATGAACAAATAATTGGCAAATGTATAGTAAGTATGACCAAATTTACAAGGCCATATGAAGATATAAATAATTTACGCTTAAAAAATCATTTTAAATACAACACTTCCAACAAATCCGGTGTCTCCAATGTTACAGATGAACAATGAAATTCTCATAAAATTTAATTTTTGAATATTAACAAAATTAATTTTTAAATTTTTTAATATACCTATAAAATTTTGTTTCAAAATTTTTTATTCTGTCAATTGATTCATGCATTGCCTCCGACTTCACACAAGTGTGCTAAATTTCAGATCAATTGGACAGGTAAAAGTGTGTCAAATATGAGTTTGGTAAGATTTGTATCTGACAAAATTATTTTTTCAATTTTTTTAATATTAAAAAAATTAAATTTTAAAATCATTTATTTTATCATTTGATTCATGCATTGTCTCCAACTTTACGCAAGTGTGCAAAATTTCAGATTGCTAGGATAAGTAGAAGTGTGTTAAATTTTGATTATAAGATTTGTAGCAGACAGACAGACAGACAAACAAGAAGTGAAGTTAAAGAGAAGTGTTGTAAATAGGTTTATATCTTCATTTAGTACACAGATGAGTACAGTGCATTTAACTCCATCACTCTCCTGAGTTGTCACAATTAAATGAATACTTCAGGCTAATTTATTAGCCTGAAGTGTTCATATGTTTGTCTCGAAAAAGGTGCAAAAGTTTATCCCCAATATAAGAATATATATACCTACCGGTATACCTACCCTTGGTTCCCACTAAGTTTACCTTTTTATACTCTCCACTTTCTCTGTTATGGTGATTTGCTGATTTATTTCCTGATCATACCGGTATTCTTGAAATTTTATTTTATTAGTAATTTAATTTTAGGGTACTTTTTTGAAATCTATTAAAATTTATATTTCATGTGATGAAGGGTGGTCTCTTGATTTGCAGCATGACCATCTCTCATAAGATTGTCAGAATGTTGGAATCTCAGGCAGTAGAAAAGGAAAACATTGAAGTAAATGTCTTTTATCATTTATATATGGTTATGCCCCTAATGCTCAATTGTTGTTGCATTGGATTCATGCATTTTTTTACTTTTTTCATATCACTTCACATACCACCTCCCTATGTTTATAATTAACTTTCCAAAGTATAGTTAAAAGTCAGATATTGCATAGGCTGAGGCAGAGATATAACAGTCAAGATTATAATGAGATTTTATAGGGATCTAATTGTGCCATAAAAGTATAATTATTTCATGTCTGGTCGACGAAGTACATTAAATAGTTTTGAACCTATTTCATCACCAGGCACAATCAGTCTGATGCAATTTGAATTCATTTATTCCATTCATTTCAGTTTCATGCCCCTGATGCAGCAACATGTGGAGGTGGCTGAAGCACTCCTATCCAAGCCAGAACGTCTGCTGCCAGTTCTTAGTGATGCTATCATTCAAGTGCAGAAAGATCTCCTCCTAGTTCTCAAAGCAGCCAATGACCATGCTTCTGCTTCACCAGAAAGAACAGCATTGATGACTAAGCATGGTTTGCGTGATGTTGATGTTGAGATCCTGGATGTGAAAAAAGATGTTCATCCAAGACTTGTTGGTGAGTCATCAGATATTATTACTAAATATGATCACTATACCTATACATATTCTGTGACTTTAACATTAATACATTTATGTTATTACCCGTTTATTTATACTTACCGTTATTTACCCCTGAAGTGGTCACGTGGACTACATATGTATTTAATCCATGCCTATGAAATTCGACTGTAACGAAACTGAATAAAAAGGCTGTAGGTCGGTCGGTTCTGGTCGGTTTATTGCATGCAACCACTGTAGTTTTAAAGTGATATTATAAGAATGTTGTGGATATGGAACAGAGGTCTGCTCTCCTCTGAATGTTAGAGGGTAAATTAGGAACGTGATTGGATATATTTTTGTCTGACCCCTTATTCGAAATGCCTTTGAAATGATTTTGGTCATTAGGTTCCTTAAAGATTTTTTATAGTTTAGTATGAAATTAACTAATTTATTCATGTCTGTAGCAAATTTTTTTAAATATGGCGTATGTCAGGTGTGTCTTGTATTGGTATAACTGGCAGTGAATGTCTCATGTTGTTAATTACCATGCCTAGTTTGTGCAGTATAAATCTCTTCCTCTATTGTATTTTTCGGAGTATTCTTTGCTATCAATCTTATACAAATGTTTGAAGATACCTAATCATTGCCTAATGAGTTGTTGCATTTCAGGTGTTCCATGTCCTGCAGAAACTCGTGTTCCAAGATCAGCTGATATTGGCTCCCTGCTCAGCTTCTCTGGCACGGTGGTGAGGGTAACGGCACCTCGGCTGCTGCGTCACACTCTTCTGTATACTTGCGACGCTTGTAAACATCCTGTGGAGGTTAAGGTGGGAAATCTTTGGCATTTCTTATGTTTGCAATTTCGTGAAAAGGAATTTTCATTTGACTTATTCGACCCGTAATTGCTTTCCATTAAATTTGAGACACTGGCAAATACTGTTGCCCCCCAAAATATTATGCTTTGTGTCCTAAACAGCTCAGCAGGCATCTTTTTCAGAAATTTAAATAACAATAAATTTATGTCCCATTTACACTCTTCTCATTATATTAATGTAGGATTAAGTTTATATATATCCAGTTTATTCCAAGTGTTAACATTTTTATTCTACTGTAGAAATATCTTGTATTTTGCTGATATGGTGTACTACTCTGCTGGAGTGTACTGTGTGCAGCAAATGCCACTCTAGTCCAACTTTGCCCAAAAGCTTGTCATTGTTACAGGGCGATCATGACCAGTACTACGCCGCGAGCAAGCCCCTGCACTGCACCAACCCTCACATCAACTGTTATTCCAAAAATTTCTCATCTGCCGTATTGCCTGATGCTCAACACACGATTGATTACCAGGAAGTAAAATTGCAGGTGGGTGAGACTTTAGATGTCTTTTTATTTTTGGAAATGTGGTTATCATTTATCAATTTTTTCTTGTGTATTTAAGAATACTATTTTGCCTGAGGCCGTAATTTGAGCGTGGCACGGGGAAATGATGTCATGCATGTCTCTTTTATATACTTTCACTGTCATAGTAGTGTTTTTCAATTCTTATTTAATATTCCAGTGTTAAATTTGTAGTAACATGATGCATTTGTTTTTGCTCATGCACGTCTCCTGCATTCAAGTACACTAATTTTTTAAATAGAATTTTTTGCAATAAAACTTTATTTACAGAGTTTGGATCCAATAATGAATGCAACTCTTGATGTGTCAGCAATGATTAGTACAAGTACACTGGTCAAAATATTTTATCTTGATCAACAGATTACTTACCTTGCCAGGAACCAACGAGCTCTGGTGCAGGAGGTGCGGGCAACAGCCTCCCCCAGAGCGTGTGGGTGACGCTCCACTACGACTTAGTCGATTCCTGCAAGCCTGGGGATGATGTCTTGGTGTGGTGCGTAAGTAGACCTGGGGATGATGTCTTGGTGTGGTGCGTAAGTAGACCTGGGGATGATGTCTTGGTGTGGTGCGTAAGTAGACCTCCTGTCTCTTATACACATCTAGATGTGTATAAGAGACAGAAGTAGACCTGGGGATGATGTCTTGGAGTGGTGCGTAAGTAGACCTGGGGATGATGTCTTGGAGTGGTGCATAAGCATGCCTGGTTGTGGCGATGTGGTGCATAGCCGAAATTTTTTGCCCATTTTTAAGACATTAGTCATGAAAACATGAGTTTAAATCAAGCTTTAAACCAAGTAAACAAACCAAATAAAGTTGATCTACATGTGAAATTTACAAATTATCGAAATACCAAGAATTTTATTTTATTTATTCGAACTATCAAAGCTAATAACATTCTGATTGATAAAATCAATTGTTTGAACATTCTTTTTTATTCATACGTCCCAAATGATATTTGTTGGTGAAAAGCCCTATAAAAACTAAGGTATATGTTTTGTTTGAAATTTTTATTGTGGCAAAAATTATTTTTCTTAAGCAAGATCTAGCTAAGTGAAGGTCTCCTTGGTTGTAATATTCGTGTTGGATTGCAGCGGGACTGTGGTGAGGCGTTGGCGGCCCGTGGCGCGCGACGCGCGACCCTCCGTCGAGGTCGTCATCAAAGCCAACAACGTCACCGTGAGTGTCCTGCTTTCTTCAGCTCACGTTACACGAGAAGTATCGCTCAATTATTGGCCTTTATTTTTCCTACATTAAGTTCCACCAATTGGATTTGTCATCACCTGCTGCCAATCAAAAAATCTGTTATGCCTTTAATCTTGTGTTGTATTCAAATATTGTCAACGTATTCATGATAGTAATTGTAATGCCTAATTTCAAATTGTTTGGAATGGAATTATTAATGTCGTAATTTTATTCACTAAATTAACTTTTATAACTACTTATGTGATTATTGCTGAGATTTTCCGATTTTCATTATTGAAAAATCTCTCGGTGAATGATCTTCTTTGTGTGTACTCTTGCAAAAGCATTTTCATTCATTAACTTTTGATAACTAATTAAATTGACCTTGATAGTTCTAAGCTCTCCTTAACTATCTTCATTTTGAACTGTTTTTAATATTGAAAGGTGCGGAACAAACATGAAGGCAACGCGGCAATCAAGCCCGAGCAAGAGGCAGAATTTCAGGAATTCTGGAGCCGTTACAAGCACAAGCCTCTCTGCGGCCGAGACGTGCTGCTTGCCTCCGTCTGTCCCCAGGTCTTCTGCCTTCATCGCCTGCGCAGAAATCTTATTCATATTTGTCTGTATTTGTGTTTATATTTGAAGCCTGGCACGGCAAATACACTGGGGGGATTTGCACGAGCGCGTAGCCAGGATACTTTTCGTGATACCGGGCTAACCTGCTTATATTTTATACATTAAAATTTTTTAAGTTTTATGGTGTAACTGTTTTAGTCGCGTTTGGAGGAGACCTCATCGCGTTCAAGTCCTTAGATATGTAATTTTTAATTTTTAGCTGCTAGGAAATACTACCCTTTGCCTCCCATTTTTCAAGTGGAAGCAACGCACGCCATTATCTGGCTTTTCATCTACGATAATTATTTCCCCCATTGTTATTGCCTCGGTTTTAAAATGAAGCCGATTAGCAAATTAAATGAATTTCTTTTAGTTTTCTCGAATCAATAGTGGCGCGGTTTTTGTTGATGCTCACTGTAGTCGAAGCGGCTAAATTACTTACATATCTAATAATTCTAGAATTTATTAAGTTACACTTCATTTGTAAATTATTGATATTTCGAGGCAGAAAATCGAGTACTAAAGTGATTATTGGTTTGTTATGTATAAACTGATTACAGGAATTTCGCCTGTTTAAATTCAGAAAATCTTAATCGGTAGAAAATGAATTAAAATTAGTATAAGATTATAAATGCAGTTCCAAAGATTATAACAACATTGGCTGGTAAGTTAGTCGGCTTTTCTCGCTAATTTAAAAAGAAAAAATAAATTCCCTATGTCCCATTTTCGATGGTAAATTCAGCGTTTTAGATTCAATAAATTAATGATAAATTTTCAGATCTACGGGCTGTACCTGGTAAAGCTTGCGGTAGCGGTGGTGCTGTGTGGTGGGGTGCAACGTGTGTGTGGCGGCGGAGGCAACCGCGTCAGAGGGGAGCCTCATCTGCTGCTTGTCGGAGATCCTGGTACATTCATTTGTATTCATCCTAATTTTTTAGGTTGCTAACATGACTGTCAAATGTGAGCATCTTAAGTCATCAATACAACTGTACTGGAATCGAATCACGAATGAGCGCCTAAATTTTTCCGTTTCAGCAATAAAATGCGTTTGAAAGTGGAGCATTATAAATTCATTACACCATAATATATCCGTCTAAGCAAGAAACTGTGATTGAAAGTTTTGCATGATAAATTGTAATACGTTGAGAGTCAGATAAAGCCCAGAACTTTGCTAAAACACATTCTATGGTAAAGTTTTTGTTGAGGTTTCCTGGTCTTCCTTTTACAGGAGACCCCCTGTATGGTAAAGTTGATTCACTTGCTACATGTGTGCAGGCACCGGCAAATCTCAGCTGCTGTCGTGGGCGTGTAGCGCCGGCAGTCGTTCGGTCTTCACGACGGGCGTGGGCAGTTCGGCTGCAGGGCTCACGGTGGCCGCCGTCAAGGAGCCTGGGGGCGACTGGGGACTTGAGGCAGGAGCCTTGGTGAGCCTATTTACTCATTGGTGGAGGTTTCGCACATAGTAGACCTTGATCTCCTTAGTAATTGTTTCGGACGTAGTAGTTTTCACCTCAGGGTCCTTGGTAGACGTTTTGGACGTAGCAGCTCACTGTGGAACTCACCTGCATCGTATTGCGATTACTTTCTCGAAGGATATTCATGCCAAAAATATATCCCTTGCTCGTACAGGCATTGTCCATAGCATCATAGCTATTTAATCCAAAGGTGTACTGCCTAGAGTTTGACGAAGCATTGAAAAACTGACAAATATTGTGTATGAATATATCTAGAAACACGTGGATTGAATTTAAAGAATTCTGGAAGATGATTTTTTTAGTACCATGTTGTCCTCGGTTTGGCCTGAATAAAATCTTGAAACGACCATATCATTATTATATTAATTGTTGTGAGTCTATTTGACCCTGCAGAGCGTAATTCAGCGTTTAGTTGTGATCTGCTGAGCCTTGGAATTGGCACTCTACGTACGAATTGGCCTTGTCCTGAACGCCTGACTATTCGCTGCAGAAAATCAAATGAAACCAAACTCTTTTGTGACGCATAGTCGCATACTGTTAAAAATTTCACGTTACATATCATGCAAATTTATCAAATGTTAGCAAATTACTTAGCGAGTTGCCAAAAATATTAAGAGTAAATTATGCATTTCGAATAGAGGTGAAACTTTATAAATATAACGTGATATAACACCAAAAACGTATCACACATTTGGGGAGCGCTTTAATTTTACGCTTTATGAAAAATCCAGAATCACTCACGTTGGCACGACTCTGACGTTGAGTCCCAAATCTCTTCGAATTCCCGATAAAGAACATAATTTTGACCGTTAGAAGGGAAATATAGAGCTAAATACGTGAACCAGTACTTGGATATATTTAGGACCTTTTTGCTTGTGTAGGAGGACTGACTATGCATCACTATTACTCACAAGGCACGAGGCGTTGGTGGAGTATACAATTTTTTACACCGTCATGAAGCGGTCGAGTAGTCGCATGCAGTTTGGGTGTAACTGTTTCCTGATATGAGCCTGCATTTGTATGTACAATTCTACACTGGTATTGTAGGTGCTGGCAGATGGGGGCTTGTGCTGCATAGACGAGTTCAGCAGCGTGCGGGAGGCCGACCGCGCCGCTATTCACGAGGCCATGGAGCAGCAGACCATCAGTGTTGCCAAGGTGCTTGCAAATTATCGATACTTCATGTTTCATTTCAATCATACTTTCTGAAGTTCATTTCTCATTTCATGATATGTGGTCTTGAGCAGATAACGATTTTTAAGCAATTGATAGCATTTTCGTCAGTCGTTATTGAACTGCTGCGTCTAATATAATCCCAGGCTGTAATTACAATCATTAAGTTTGCCGTCACTATGACTATTCAACATCTTTCAAATGGTAGGTTAAAATTCTTATATATGAGCTGTAAGTCAATAATGTTGCTGAGGATTAAATTGTGTTTGGCTGTAGGCGGGGATGGTGTGCAAGCTGAACACTCGATGCAGCGTCGTTGCAGCGACCAATCCCAAGGTTAGCTGTCAAATATGTTTTGCTTCAACATAAATATGTTTAAATTATTTTCAATGGTGTGCCTTCATATTATTCATGCATTAAATATTTTATGATTGGGACCTCCAGACTTGAGTGCCGATAACGAAATGTAAACGTGTAAATTAAATTATTTGGTCAAAATTCATTGCGTTCAGTGAGATCTCTTCTGATAGTTCAATAAACTCGATTGTAATTAATGAGTACTAATTTGTTGACGAGTACAAATCAGTATTTTTAGGTTAACTATGAATTTATTCACAATAATCATCCGACAGGGACGCTATGATCTCTCTGTGCCCCTGAACCTGAACGTAGGCGTGGCGTCTCCATTACTCTCGCGGTTTGACCTCATCCTTGTTCTCTTGGATACCGAGAATGCAAACTGGGACAAGTAATGAGAATTCGTTGTTTGCACTAAACTTGATAGAATAGACAATTATTTCACTGTAAATCTTTGTAGTCCCTGCTAATTAAGGTGAAAGCCGAAATTTGCGTTGATATGCAGTAACCCACGTAACGAATTCTGAACTGAATTACGTCCTGCGATTGAAATCCCGCACCACTGATAAAAACTTACGTGCTCAGGTTGGTGTCGAGCTACATTCTATCTGAGGGAGCGCTGGGACGCTTCCCTGCAGACGCTGTCGTTAGTAGTGGCTTGTGGAGCCTCGACAAAATGCGCACGTATTTCCGGTATGTGAGGAAACTTCAGCCTAAACTTTCCGCAGCCGCTGACGAGATTCTCAGCCACTTCTACCAGCTCCAGAGGAGGAGCGCCGGGCGCGATCAGTCAAGAACCACCATCAGGTGGGTGAAGAAAAACTTTGCTGGCTTTGCCCGCTTTGCCCTGGAGCTTTAAATGCAGTAAGAATATTATTCTCTTCGCGGAAATTATTCATTGCTCTCATTCGTTATATTCATCGCTGCCAATGGGTGTCAGGCATTGGCGTTTTCCCTTGCTTATAGCCATTGCTGCCTGATATGTTGTGTATGTAAGGATTCTGTATATTCATTAAAAAATGTCCAGTAAACCTTGTGGGGTTTCTAAGTTTCCACGTGCCGTCCACGTTATGATTTGGGTTCATAACTTTGGATACTCAAGAGTACTATTTATGGCGGTCATTTCTCTACAGATTTTCTTTGATTTTTTCTTTTTTCCTACCTATTATTCGCCTTATAACTCTGCACTGTAATGTAAAATCTTTGTTCTTTCCTTTTGACGTTATTCCAGTTGTCTGGTCTACCCATTAACTCCTCTTTTGACTCTTGTTTTTCTATTAAATCTAATGACCAATACTCAGTCGATTGGTATACAAATTGAATCGCTGATTTAATTGTTTTCATCATTCAGATTATTGGAATCGCTCGTTCGACTAAGCCAAGGCCACGCCAGACTTATGCTGCGTGACACGGTCACTACCGAGGACGCCGTAGTGGCTGTGGGTCTCTGGGAGGCCGCCGCCGCCACACCTGCTGCCCTGTACGCGGTCTTCGGCGACCAGCAGCCACGCAATCCAACATCCACTCTTCACTCCGGTTTTCCTCTAGAGCCAATTATGCACTACAGAGAGCAAGGTTATACACCTCAAATCACTGTGGCTTTAGTTTATCCCTTGTGTGTCTGCATAAATGAAACTGTTCCTACGATGGTTACCTGAAATTTGTTTTGAACCAATTTTACTTTATCTTGTTGTTTTCTAATTATTGCGACAATACAGCGCAAATTGTTGAAGATAAGGTTGAAGGTAAGAAGTATGGGTTTCTACTGTCTATGCAGTAATAAACTTTATTGGAAAGAGATTGTTTGAGAATAAGAAATTGCCAAACATGACTGCTAGAAATGCGCAAGTTTCTACTTCATTTTGTCTACGCTCATTTGCATTTTAGGCTTGCTACGTTTTCAATGTACCTCACTCTAATGTGTTATATTGTGCTAGCCTCCATTTCTTGATCAAGTAATCGTTTTTGCAGTGGAGTTATCAGAACCTCAGAAGTACCTTGAATTATTGGTTACACCGTAGGCCACATAATTATAAACAATTGATTGATCTCTATTTGCTTTTGCATGTGCAGCAAAATCTTTATTGCTTCGGTTGGGATTAGAAGAAGTTTGGCATGAAGAATCCAACAGGCTCGACGAAGAGGATCGCCTTGCATCAGAAGACGTGCTTGCCGAGATCCTTAAAGCTGCCGATGCCCCCGAGAAGCACACGACGATAACGACGACCGCAGAGTGTCTTCCTGCTGACACGGTTTCTAACACGCAGCGTGGCAGTAACTCCTTCAGCTTGCGGCCAGGACGACACGTTCCCCACTCACAGAACCCCGAATTCTCTAGCGTGCAAGCCTCTCGCAACTCCGCATTTATTGCCTGCGCCACGCAAGACGCTCGGCGCAGAGATGTCATCGAGGAACTGGAAGACGTTCCTTTGTTTTCAACCGCTCTAGTGACGAATAAAAAACCCTCGGCACGACAAAAAACAAAGAAGAAAGTTAAAAGAAAGCAAAAGAGCCCTAGTGAAAGTATCAGCAAATGTTTTACGAAGCTCAAAACGTCGCGTACCAGAAAACAACGACAGGAACGTTCCGAGGAGAAAATGTGCATCGAAATCTCGTCAGCGAGCTCCAATCATGCCAGTTCAACAGAATCCGACTCAGAAATTGATATTCCATGCGTCGGTGATGACTCTCTTTTTGGCGTTGAAAGTGCTAAGAGCGAACTGCACAAAAACTCTGAAAGTATCGCAGATGCCCGCAAAAGTGCTGGAAGTGTGAATAACGTTGAAGAGATAGGAAACGTTGCACCTAACGTATGTGGCGGGAAGAAAGATAATGCAGTTATTTCTAATGGTTCTTTAGTTGAGCCTAACACATTGAGTAATGAAATATCATCCAAGAGAAAACAATCAGAGGAATCACCATTTTGTGTCAATTCAAATTTCAAAAAATCCCGGCAGGTAAGAGGGAAAAAGGTTTCTTTGTCTAAAGAAAACTTTAATAATAGAACAATCGAAGATAGCAATGGATGGACTCCTAATGATCGAAAAACAACGCATTGCACCATCCGTCCCGAATATGAACACCGTGTGACTGTACCCGGGGGCGTTCCTGGGGATAATTCCTCTGGTAATAGTAACTTTATGAAAACAAAAGCATCGGACGTTAAAAGCGATGAAAAATTTGCCGCGAGGGACGATCGCAAAATCATAGCCCAGGAAACTTGTGATATAAGGTTGACTGCCAGCCCCGATGTCGTACAAGGAATAAGCAATGATTCTCTTCACCTGTGCGACAGAGAACCACAAAACACGAAACCAGTGAATCTCGATAGATCGACAAGCTTAGATTCAGTCAGTTTATCTCAGAAAGCTCGTTCGTTTCTCCGCAAATTCTCTTTCTCTCATAAAGTCAAATGTAGCGGCATAGGATCAACTTTGGTTACCATTGCCGCAGCTGCTGCAGATAAGAATATCACACCTGAAGCTAATCCTATCAGCGAAGAGGTTACCAAGAAAAAAATGCCTGCAGTAGGTGGGGGTCAGATAAGTGCGGGTCCCGGGCGCAGTGTTGAAATGGACCACTCAACTCCAGATTTCGAGGTGTCCTCTGACTCTGACATGAAATCTTCCAGCTGTGGAGACGCTGGGGAGGAGAATGCTACTCACACTTCCAGACAAAAACTTCGCTGCAAGCTTGTCGCTGTGTCGCGCAGTTCAGCGTCATCGAATTCGATTTCTGCCAAGCTTAAACGATTCGCTTTCATTCCAAAGGATCTAGTAGATGATCCAGTAAATAGTTTGCCTTGTGATCAAGCTACTGAGAAACTTGAACTAATAAAATCCTCTAGTCCTTGCGCTAAAAAACTTGTGGAGAAGAGTAAGGTTGAGGATGTGAAGATTACTGCCGGCTTTTCTAGGTGCAAGTCCTTCAATAAATTCGCCAGTTCTCAAGATTTGGATGATGACTTCAATTTTTGAGTTTTTCCTGTCGAAAATCGGTCGACCTTATTCACTTATTCACGTCAGTAGCTTTAATTTCGTTATTCGATATTCACGTCAGGAGCTTTAATTTCGTCTAAAATTTATTTCAATTATTCTAAATTATAGTTGTTTATTTATTTTAATAATTTATAGAAGGCCATTATAGTCGATGCTCTCATTTTGCTGATGCTCTCAATCCTATTGATGATCTCACGAAATTGAATTTTTGTAGGTTTTCAAATATTATAAAAGTTTTTGCCAGGTCTGGAGGGAGGCTCGCTCCAACTTGCTTGGGGAGGAGCATCAGATGTATCACCCGTTTGATTAATATATGGTGGTGGTATGGAGTGCGGATCCTATGAAAATTTCGCATCAATGTATAAATTGCAAATTGATCGGTACTTAGCCTGGTAGTCCCCCATGAAAACGTTTAATAAATGGAACTTCTGTAATAAGCTTATGAAATTATCCTTTGTCAAATATGTCTTAAGAAGACGTGTCAGGACCGATGACTATGACACGTTATAGGTTAAGTAAAAATTTAACGGTAGGGTTGACAAATTTTATTAGATGTTTAATTTCAAGGTTTGGTTCTTCTTAATTCTTCACTAGGAACTCGTGGAAGTTAGATTTGGTCCAGGCGTGAAAATTTAAAATGGATAACCGGACATCAAAATCAGCGATCTTCATCCAATTGTTCGCTCCGGATGGAAAAGAACAAGACAAGGGCCGTGACCAGCAGCAGGTGTAGTTAGGCATGCTACAGAATATAAAATATTACGGCATCCACAGTCATCTGCACTCGTAATGAAGTCAGAAATAAATGACAGGAAAAACGGATACGAGATGGCCTTAATCTATTAGGAGCATGTAACAATTTCAAAACTTTGAGACCAGTTATAAAACCCTAAATAAAAAGGGCACAGTAGGAGGAATGCTCGCCAAAAATAGATCATGCAAAAACTAAATTCACACAACATAATAAGATGGTTGAAAAATAGTCTTAGCAAATATTAGGGGTATGTAGTTGTTGCGCAGGTAAAGTGGTGCAACTCATGGTTGAATATATAAGGTTGACCCGCGAGAAGTTCCGTCTCAGTTCAGCTTTCTTGTTACGTCACGTAGATCGAGAAACGTAAACAAACCCGTCATTCCCATGACGGATTGTTTGACTCATGGGTGAAATAATACATTAATTCAACCATGGGTTGACTGGTTTGATCGCATTTAGGTGATTGGTTAATGCCCGTGACGTCACTGAGATCAGTGACGTCACAGGTGAACAACGAACTGGGCTTCCCCCCTCCCCCCCCCAATGGGCTTCCGATGGGTCAACCTTATTCTAGTTAAACCATGGGTGCAAATGAAGTGCGCTGGCTAAATCACTTGGCAGCAAGTGAAGGATGCGATGCGCAGTTGGGAGAAGTGAGGAAGTAATTTCTTATACTGTACTTTGTATTTACTTCATCAGCTGAGATTCTACTTTCCTCTCGTATTTTGACATCTTGTTCGTTGCCTCGACCCATTAGAACCATTTTTCGCGCCTCACGGTTAAAAAAAAACTATTATAATGTTTTCATCTCTGAGGTGCTGAGGGTTTATTGTGATAGGAAAAGGTTTCTTTTTAGTAGGTTTATTGTGATCACATATGAAACAAATAATTATAACCTGTAGACAACTGCACGTTGTATTATTTTCTCTTTATTACTTTAATTCCCGGTTAAAATCCTCGCCTGCTAACACAAACTAAAAAACGTAATGGTGGTGGGTAAATTTACTTGTTAGTTGACAAAGTCTTCGTCTCAGAACAACATTCATTCTGACTCTGAGTGAGGCGTATGCTGCTGGGCGGGCCATTGAGCGTTCTCAACAAGTTCCTCCTCAAATCCTTGTTTAATGAGTCTGTTGAAGCTTTTTAGTCTGCTTAAATGAGACTCAAAGTCTGCACCAGGCGAAGTTTTCCTTGAAATGTCGTTTGCTTTTCATATTGCCCAGCGCCTCTTAATTAATTTTCAATTAAATGGAGTCCTGGAAAGGAGCAAGAAACTGTCACCTGAAACTGTCAAAGGAGCAAGAAACTGTTCGTTGACACATTGCAGTTTTAGCTGACGAAATTACCTATCCAAAACTAGGTATAAAGCTTTATTTTTAACTCTGAATTCTGATTTGGATTGAACTCTGAGCAATATTTCTGAGCTAAACACGAATGCGTCCTCATCAAAAATTGTTCAGCACGCGAACCAGTTCCTTATTAGGAATTAGGAATTTTTTTAAGTTATTATATTTTTTTGGTGCGATGAGCAGTATTAATACTGCTCATCGCACCCAAACCCTATTGCTCATTAACAGATAAATAAAACAATTTATTATCGTGATATCTTTTTAGTAATCAAACTTCAACATTACTGAGCTGGATAATCATATTTTTTTAATGAAAATTACTCAAACAACCTACAGCAATTTCTTTGTGATCGATAATAATCCCTGTTGTAATCGCGTTGCTGTCAGTTGATATGATTATATTCTTGCTACACATTTAATATGTATTCATCTATCTTTCATTCATCACCTATGGAAAAAGTGTGCATTCCAACGCAATCAAGATTTGGATGTCTCACTGAGGATAAGGCCTTATAGCTTTCAATCGCGTGCACTGCTACATGCTTTGAGTTTACGATACGACGTCTGGATATCTTTGAAGTCCTATTCAGAAAACGCCAGTGATTGTAATCGACTCCTCTGTAAAAACTGGGAAGGAAAAGAATGCACGGAAAGTGGAAAGGATAACCCAAAGTTTTCAGCAAAAATCATCTCCGGATTATGACAATAACTGTGATCAAAAAGAGGCCTGAACGATGTTCGACAGTAACTGGAACCATGACTTGATATTGTCTTAGACCATTCCCGCTGAATTACAGGAACAATGTCTAGATAAACACAGTATGCATATCCGGATAGAGATGGTAACCATGTCCTGATAGAGACAGTATACATATCCGGATAGAGATCGGAAACATATCCGGTTAGAGATAGGAACCATCCTAATGGATACAGGAACGTGTGTAGGGCGGGCGCAGGAACTGTTGGAGCCAACGCATGGGGCAGGTTTTCAGGAACACGCGAATATGTACGCACCGCGTTTGCCTTGCTGGAGAGAAAGACATCTCAAGATGCAATTAAGATAGCACTGAGGCGGCCACCCAAGTTTAGCAGGGTTCTAAGAGAACAAGCTTATTTAGACATTCTTCGTAGATCATTCACAAGGCTCAATTTGTGAGCCAGTCCCGCCCATCTTTTCGGGAGAAAGAAGGCGCATCGCGTAAACTTTAGCTAGCATAATTTGTACTCGTGGGATTCCCGAGAGCGCTTTTAGAATCATCGGTGACATCACTGCACGTGAGTGGAGACACGCACAGGTTTCCTACAGGTGTACGTTCGGAGTAAATACGTACAGGTGTGCAACAGCTTACGTTCGGAGATGAGGCGCAAAGGTGTGCAACAGGTGTACGATCAGAGGTAAGACGTGCAGGTTTCCAACAGGAATACATTCGAAGGAAATACTTACAGGTTTCAACGGGTTTACGTTCGGAGGTAAGACGTACAGGTTTCCAACAGGTTACGTTTGGAGGAAAGACTTAGCTATAGAGATTTTCAACAAGTTTACTTCCTGCAGGTCGGGAACTAATCGCCTACGCCAAGTTGGAGGTAGAAATAAGCTGGCCTGACTCTGAATGCTTTAGAATCAATTGCGCGAGATTCATTCTACGCAATATGATGACGTTCTTACGAAATTCAGGAATTATCCAGAATATAAAAATTATACTCAAGATGGGAGCCGCTAGAGATCATAACTTCACCTTTTTTGTTGCTCTCGAAGATGGCGAAAAATAAATGTTGTTTATATTGGTACAAGCCTATTTAATTTATGAAATGTTGCAATTTGCCATCGAAATGGCAACCCATATCCCCCCCCTGTGCATGCATTCAATTCTCTTACAAAGAATGTTGTAAACGCCATTGAGAGGCCGTGAGCTCATCACGTGCCTCGTATTTTCTTTTTAACCGATTTTATTCTTACGTTTTTGGAAATTCAAGAGTCGAGATATCTCATTGAGTGCAGCATTATGCGAAATCCGCAGATTTTATCAGGAGCGGCACAAACTTGCGAAATGCTTATCGCGATTAGATCGTGCATTCGTGCATAGAATAAAGCAAAAACTGGTCCAGTTACATCAGAAACCACTTGGTATATGAATGAATAACGGTAAATAAGGCATATTAAAAGGAGTTTGTATTCAATTTAGTAATTAATAATGAATTCTCATCCATAAATGATTAACAAAGTAAATACCCGGATCCGCATTTTTAGAAATACACATAAATTCCAATAGATTATCCTGTGGTTATTAAAAACAACCACTTGATTTGATCCGACCACGTCTTAATTTGAATGAAAAAACTATATATCCTGCTCGGCAAAGAGTCAATTGTATACAACAAAACTAGGTTTTATGATATAATTTTTGTTGAGACATCGTTTTCGTCTAAGCATCGATTTCGTCTACATCCCCAAGCATCGATTCTAATTTCTCTCTGGATAAAGGCAGAAACTTGACTGGTTTTCGTGGTAAGCAACTCAGAAACAGACTCGATATTCATTTGCTCTGGGGGACACGCGTATTTTAATCGAGGCACTTGCTCACCGAGGCTAAAAGTCGATAGCTTGCTCCTATCCTTGGAAGGAATTGGTTTGGCAGGATTGAGAAAGCAAGGTTTAATAATTCAATAAATTACTTCTACCCTACAAAGTAATTGGAATAAGACAGTAAGGTTTGGCAACTCGATCGATTACTTATATCTTACAAAGTAATTGGAGTAAGAAAGCAAAGTTTAATATTTCGATAAATTACTTCTATCTCACAAAGTTATTGGGGAATGAAAGCAAAGTTTAATAATTCGAAAGTTTGGTGAGATTTCACATTATCTACATCAGCTTGCGAAAGGAATAAAATGAAGAGGAACAGTTTGGTAATACGAGAGATTGCTTTCATACTGCGAAAGGACGAAAGTGAGAAGGCAATGTTTGATAATTCGATAGCTTGCATTCATCTTGCGAAAGGACCAAGCAGAGAAATGACCGTTGGATTATTCGATAGCTTGCATTTCTCTTGCGAAAGGACCAAAGTGAGAAGGCAAGGTTTGATAATTCGATAGCTTGCATTCATCTTGCGAAAGGACCAAACTGAGAAAGCAAGCTTTGATAATTCGATAGCTTGCTTTCATCTTGCGAAAGGACCAAACTGAGAAAGCAAGCTTTGATAATTCGATAGCTTGCTTTCATCTTGCGAAAGGACTCAAGTGTGGTGGCAATCGCGCTGCTCGCTTCCAGTTGACTCTCATGGCATGGCACTTGAGCTGATGAGCTGCATCTTCGGTCTGCCAAACGGCGTTT